GTAAGTCCTGGTCGGAGTCTGAAGGCTCAAGACTAAGAGCACTGTCTGAGGGCTGCCGCAGCTCAAGCAGAGCCAGCATATTTGTCCTTCCTGAGCCTTTTTGTTCTATTTGGGCCCTCAATGGATTGGATGATGCCTTCCCACATTGCTGCGGGCTGATCTTTTCTCGGTCTCCTGACTCACTGGGAGCACCCTCACAGAAACACCTAGAAATAACACTATACCAGCTATCTGGGCATACCTTAGTCCAGTCAAGCTGACACATAATATTAACCATCACACTCATTAAACAGATACTGAATACCTACTGTGTTTTGCTTTCTGGTCTGAGGGCTAGAAGAACAATGCTGAAATGGGCTTGTCAATTCAAAATGCCACTCTCAGGTCAAGCTGGGTGTTTTCTTGGTCCTCTTAACCATATTCTGCATGTATATATGCTGCCAAAGCGAGCACAACCATATTCTGCATGTATCCTGTTTGTACATGCTTTCCCTCCATTACCTGGGACTCCGCCTGTATTATAAAGCCTGAAATTCCATGTGCCGCCTTGACGACGCTGAGCCTCGCAGGGCTCCAAAGACCTGGCTGTGAGCTCCCCTGGTCTCCCTGCCCCAGCCCAACAGGAAAAGCACCCTACTAGCTAGCCCTCCCATCAGCCAGACCGGGTGCAGCCCTCCCAGTCCTCAAGCTAATGGCTTTTGCCTCCCTCCCAGCCCATGAAATTGTTCAAACAAGCTGACTGCATGTTCCCATGGTAACCAAGGGTCCCCTCACTCTTGTCACTACAAAGCCTGCTTCCTGCAGCCCCAGCTGGCTTACCAGTGCAGTCCCTGAGTGGCCCTGCATGGTGGGTAGGCTTGCCCAGGCTATGAGAACATGTGACTGGTAAACTGCTGTCAGTCTCTTCTGTCTGGTGCTGGGTGTCGTGTGTTCAGTCATCTTGTGCTCTGTAAGGCGCGCGATCCCTCCTTCACCAATGGGGTAAATGGGAGGCCATGAGAACAGTACCTACTCTTCTCCAGTGGTAATCTAGAGCAGCCTTCCCTATTACTCTCTAATAGCTCCTCTTCCTGTCCTTACATGTCAAAGCACTTTCTTTTTATTTACTCATTTATTTAATTATTTGAGAGAGAGCATATGATGGCGGGGGGGGAGGACGAGGCAGAGGGAGAGAGAGAAATCTTAAGCAGGCTCCATGCCCTCCACGCCCTTGGGGCCCTGAGATCATGACCTGAGCCGAAATCAAGAGTCGGATGCTTAAGCGACTGAGCCACCCAGGTGCCCCAAAGCACTTTCTATTATTACATTTATCTCTGATCATTTCATGATAATGTACATTTTTGTTTAGTTTCTTTAGGCAGATAAGACATTTTTCTCACACTGATCTCTTTATCCTTCCCTTCTAATGCTGCTTGTTTTTGTTTGTTTGTTTTCACTTCCCTCAGGAGGTTTTATTGGCATAATCCTCTGAGCAGGAATTTATAGTTTCAAGAGTCAGTGACATTCAGGGATGTGTCTATGGATTGCACTTGGGAGGAGTGGATTTGTCTAGATTCTGCTCAGAGGAACTTGTATGGGACAGTGATGCTGGAGAACTACAGGGACTTGGTTTCACAGGGTAAGGACCTCTCATTCTAACTCAAAACCTCCCTACTGACATCTTTCCTTACCTACTGACACCTTGTACAACCGCGGAAATTCAAGAATTCGCACTTGCTATCCTGCTGTGATAGGTCGTTGTTTTAGGGTGGTTGCTTGGTGTCCTCTCTGGACATGGAATGGAAAACAGAACCTTCCAAAGGCCTGACGGGGAAGGGACAAGGACAGGTACCGGGAGTGGTTGTTATACTCAGTTCAGAACCCACATTTAGTGGCTCTCCTCCCGAGCAGGGCATCAGCTTTCCAAACCAAATGTGATTTCTCAGCTGGAACTCGAAGAACTGAGCTGGATGACAAAAGGACTTCCAGTGGGCCTCTCTCCAGATACAGATCAGGCAGCAGGTACTTGTTACCTGAGTGTGTCCACTTGGGAGAAATCCCCGCGGACCCCCCTGGGTCTCCTGGAGAGACCTGCACCCCCCAACATATATTCTCTCAAAGGCCTGTGCATTACTCATGTCACCGCTCCTCCCTCTGTCCTGCAAAAGTCCTCACCATGGAGGGAAGTAATAGTGTAGGAGGATTAAATGAGTTACTACATTTGTAGCACTTATTAATTGCTGTGAATATCAGTAAATGTTACGAGTTATTGCTTTTGTCTTCATCTGTATTTTGAATCCCTGTCTTTCTGTCTTCCTCCACTTTATATTCTCTTTCCTGTTTCATGAGTCTCTCCTGTCGGCCATAACCTCTATCCATGGCTTTCTTTCCCTCATTCATTTAAACCTTTGTCAGCTTTCTTAAAGGAAACTAGTGTTTTTCTCCCTGAGTTGCAAACTTGTATACATGTTTTATAGTCTTCATTTAAAAACAAATGAAGAAGACTTTAGCCTTGTTATTTTCACTAGTAACCTCATGTTTTATGCATTCCCTTTCTCATTCCTAAACTTTCAGTCTTCATCCCATTCTACTCTAAGCATTTAATGCCTCTGAATCTTTGTTAACCAGTTTCTAATCCCCTAATCCCCCTCACAAATGAAATTTCTGTTAGAGGTTATCACTGAATTTCCTCTGAAAAAATACACTTTACAGCCTTATATTCTGTACTCAATATGAAAGCACTGATCACCATTTCTTCTAACACATCTTTTAAATTAAAGAGATATTAGGCACATATTTTTATCTCTGAATAGTGTATGACTACCTAAGTATAAAGCAATAAAAGAAATCAGTAAAAGAACATATTGACAGGAAAAAAAGAATCTTACGAACATTGCTGCTAGTTTCTAGTAAGCTTTCTAAAGAACAGGATTTTACAAGAATCACTGGGTCAAAAGATGTATTTTTTATGGCTCTTGTACACATTGCACAACTTTGGATATTTTTATGCCTTTTAATGGTAATTTATTAGGTATAAAATGATCCCTTAAGGTAGCTTTAATTGCCTTTACTATAGATTCTGTGGTTTGATTATCATTGGTATTTTTTTTTTAAAGATTTATTTATTTGAGAGAGCGAGAATGAGAGAGAGGGTACGTGAGAGGGGGGAGGGTTAAAGGGAGAAGCAGGCTCCTCTCCGAGCAGGGAGCCCGATGCGGGACTCGATCCAGGGACTCCAGGATCATGACCTGAGCCAAAGGCAGACGCTTAACCAACTGAGCCACCCAGGCGCCCTACTATTGCTATTTGTATTTATTCTTATGTAAATAATCTTTTTATTCAGCAAACATTTTGTGAGCACTAGGCCCTGTTCCTAGCACTGTGGCTATAGTAATAAACAAGACAGGCAGTTTCCCCATGGAGCTTATAGTCTAGTGGGGGGAAAGTAAATTAAGAAAGAAAGCAAGCATGGAGGAGAAGGGAAAGGAAAGGAAGGGAATGAATAGTCTAGAGTCCTAGTGCTATGTGGAAAAAGCAAGCAGAATAAGGGAACTGGATCAGTTAACAGCAGCTTTATTTTAGAGGGAGTGATCAGAGAGGGCCTCTCCTTGAAGGTGGATGTTGAACAGATAATTCACAAAGTGATAGGCCATGTAGACCATTTTGGGTCCAGGGAACAGCAGGTGCAAAGACCCTGTGGGCGACTGCATAGTCTTGTTTGAAGGGAAGAGTGCCAGGAGATGTAAAGATTTCCTTAAATTTATTTCTTAAATAAATTCCTTAAAGGAATTTTTCTTTCTTAATATTTCTTAATATTATTTCTTAATAATATTTCTTAAATAAATTCCTTAAAGTCTTTCAGTCCTTCTCTGAAAAAAATTTATTTCTATTTTTAAATTTCTATGAGCCTTCTTTTCATTCTGAGTGTTCCTTCTTTCTTAACAGCAATATTTTTTAATGCATGCATTAATTTATTTTGTCTGTATGAGAATATTTTTTGTTTGTTTTGTTTTTTGGTATATGTATGCAGCATTTTTTCCCTTATTCTCTAGATTATTTTAGTAGGTTGATATATGCCTTTTTAATTATCCCACTGTCATTTTGGTGGGTTTTCTGGAGGCAGCAGAGGTGAACACATATATTCTTAATCCTGGGTTTTCCTCTGTCTTCTTTACTGGTCTTCAGGCTTCTCCACTGGGCTAAATCTAAAGATTCTTCATTTGTTTATGATTGCAGTTCACATTATATTTGCCTTGTCTCTCTGAATGTCTGTCCAGCCACCAGTGTGCAGGCTCACTGAATTGTCATGATTGAGCTAACTGCTTTATATCCCTGCCTGGCACGTTGCCTGCCAGAGTAGGTATTTAATATATGTTTGTTAAATGAATATTGAATGACATCAAGTAGAATTTTTAGACATTAGGTGAAAATACAGATTTGAAAGTTATAATCCTATCCGTGACATTCATATCAATGAGTATTATTAATTATCAGGGAGAGGGAATGAGAAGGGCAAAGCAGCAAGGATGGAACCCTAAAGGACAGTAAGATTGACTTGGGGCCAAAGATGCCCCAGTGAAGAGGACAGAAAGAGTTGTCAAAGGAGGAGAAGAGAATGTAGGGAGAGCCAAGGGAAGAGAGAAGCGGTGGGAGAGTACTGCATGCCAACCAAGAACTGGAGGGTGCTGTTGGCCTTAGCCAGAAGGACGCTAAGGATGTGGCCTAAGGAAGAGCACTCTTGGTGCAGAGGGAAATGTGCTATGGGTAGATGAGTAAAGAAGCAAACAAGTAAAGACATTACAGACAGTTGTTTCAATAGGGTTCACTTTAGAGGAAAAGGAAGATACGGCAAGAGCTGAGACAAGTCAGAGGTCAAGTGCCTCTGGTTTGTTTACCAGCGAAGAGACTCAAGTGTATTTACGGGAGCAGAGAGGAGAAACCTAAGACCGAGAAAAGTGGAGCCAGAGGATGAAGCCCGGAAAATTGGTGGTGTGCTAACTCCAGGTCTTGTTTTTCTCCAGATTTTCTTCGATGTAACTGCCAGATTAAGCTACCATTTAGTCTTTTTCTGTTCAAAACCAAGACAAGAAAGCGTGGAGGACTGAGTGCTGTGCTCAGCTCTTCTCCAGCCATCATGACTCACTCCTCGTAGCCATCATGACTCACTCCTCGTAACCATCCTATGGGGTAGGTACTGCAGCGCCCCCTCAGTGGGACAGATGGGTTCAGAGGGGGAAATGACATGCCCGAAGTTGAACACCGGTTTCTTGTTTTGTTTCTGCCTTCGAGTTTAATGCTAATTCTGAAACAAAAAAGTTATAACTTTCTTTCCCTGCCTTGCTGTGACTTCTTATTTCCAAGTACATCTAGCAAAAATAGAACCTCTACATCCTGGCCCAATTTTTCTTTTAGATGATTGTTTTCTTCCTTCCTTCCTCTCTTTATTTCTTTTTAGACAGAGAGAGAGTGTGTTTGTGAGCTTGTGGGGGGAGGGATGAGGGGAGGGGCAGAGGGAGAGAGAGAGAATCTTAAGCAGGCTCCATGCTCAGCGCAGAGCCCGACACAGGCTCAATCCCACAACCGAGATCATGACATGAGCCAAAATCAAGAGTTGGATGCTCAACCGACTGAGCCACCCAGGCGCCCTGGATGATTGTTTTCTTTTTCTGTACTAAGGTTTTCATGTGTACAGTTCTTGAATGCTTCATTAGATTTTGCCTCTATTTTATAAAAGCTGAGTAGAAAACGTAGAGATAGAAGTTCTGTTAGAGACAGCATTATTGCTAGTAAACTTGTTAATGCTGAAATAGAGATGGGAATTATTAGTAACGTGGAAAGCAGTGAATTTTTACCCTCTAGTCAGTGGTCATTAGACTTAAATCTGTTGGTGAAGTACAGTCATGAAGGATACAAACAAGAACATGTGCAAAGTATTGAAATCTATTACCAAAGATTATGTCTATAAAATAAGATAGTTAGGGATTCTGTAACATTTTAAGCTCTCCAGGAAGCCACCCTTTACTACCCCAAACACAGAAACCTATTATTTGTGTTTTATACACGACTTTGTATCATTCTCAGAAATGTAGTGGGTGACTACTTGTGTCTGTGTGCACATGTGTGTGTTAACATACACACAGAATTTATATATTGTTACAGAGTCCCTATTTACCTTCATGCTAACCTGAGCCTCCCTCATGTATAGTACAGACACATGTCTTTGCCTCCATTAGCAGGAAAACTAATCTAAAAGACCATAATAAATATAGAAGTATCCACAGTTCACTGATCCTTACACAGGGCAGGCCCACATCTGCCTCGGGGCCTCAGCCCTGGGATTTCCTTCTGTGTGGGATGCTCTCCCTTTGATAGTCCTGTGACTCCCTCCTCACCCCCTAAAGTCTTGGCTTCAATATCACCTTTTCATTGTGGCCTTTCCTGAAGAGTCTATGTAAAATTACAAACCATTCCCCTCACCCATCATGTTCCCTATTTCGACTTTCTTGCTTTTACTTTTTCCATAAGGTATGCCACTTACATTCTAAGTATTTTACTTATTTATTATGTTGATTGCCCTTCTTGCTCTCATGGAAATATAAGTTCCTTAAGGGTAGAAATGTGTTTTGTTCATTGCTAGCACCCTAATCAGCACCTGGCTCAATAGATATTTCTTAAAGAGATATTTCATGTTCAGAGGATCCGTCTGGCTGCTATATGGAGAATGCACTGTACAGCAGCAAGAGTGTTAAGTAGGAAGTCCAGTCAGGTGAATAAGTGGTGGAGTGGAAGGAGTAACTTACCTACTACACAGGGGATTGAAGAAAGACAAAAAGAAATAAATCGACTTGCCATAGGAAGAGCAGGACCTGCTGCCCGAGAGCTGTACCCACCCCAATTCTCTGCAGGCTCTTGGCCTCTACTATGGCCAGTGTCAGCCATTAAAGACTGAAGGATCTGTGTTCTCCCAGATCCCTCAGTCCTGGGGGCTCTTGTTCATGTCCTGATGAGTACCAAAATTATATAAATCCTATAACTAGACATTCTAAGACAAAAAGGGAGAATGGGCTATCACTCCAAAGTCCTGTTTAGGGAAAAAGGAAGAGGGGGCTGTATATTGTTTAACACAAAATAATAAGGGTAATGGTAACAGCTAACAATCAATGAACGCTTATCCTGGCCAGGCACATTGCTGTGCACGTTACAGGGGCCTTGTTTAATGAGACAGCAAAATAGCAAACATCTGAAACCTCATCCAATCCTAGAAGAGCTATAGTTTTTGATCCTTAGTGCTCCGGTCCCAGCCCTTCAACACTTCACTAATTCTGAGTACAGCTACCCTAACACTTTTATGTTTTCCAGGGAGACAGTCATGTGATCTGAGAAAAGTAAAATTTCCTCCCCTCTACGTTGTCTAATGTACTGGTCACACTCTGGGAACAATATTAAATAGTAAGCATCCTTTCCTTGATTCTGTTGCTAGTGTGAATTCTAGAGTTTTATGTGTATGCTTGGTACACTGCTTATAATTTTGTTTTTGAATCAGGATCCAACATTGGATATTATCAAATACTTCTGAAGCATCCCTTGGGTTGGTCACAGGTCCTTTTTCCCATGTCCCACTAATATATTAATAGATTCCTAATAGCGAGCATTCTGGAACTCCTGGATAAATCCTTTGTTCAAATCGACTATCTAAGTAGTATTTCAGGAACGGCATAGGAGTTCTATAATTACTAAATCTTTCATATTTAAGAATGTGTTTTGGTTTTCTCTACACATGTATAGAGTACTGGCCATGTGCAATTCTTGAGTCACATTGGTCTTTCCTCAGTCCCTTGTAGACATGGCTTCCCTGTTTTTGGCATCCCATGTACCCGGAGCGATCACTTCAGTCAGTTTTTAAAAAAATTGTTGGTAATCCATTTTTCATTTCCTGCAGCAAATCTCCAGAATTAACTTTTAAATTAGATCTCCAAATTCCATGAAGATATACTGTCTCTTTTCTTTAGTACATAGTGATGTTTCAACTTAAAATTGTTAATATTTTCCAAAATAGGAAATATTTTCTTGTTCTCATTTTAAGAAATGTCATATATACAGAAGAATATGTAAAATACATGTACTATTTAGCAAAAATCTACATATTCTAAGCTCTTTATAAGTATTAACTAATTTTTGTTCTTACCTCAACAATATACAATAGGTGCCATTTAACAGATGAGGAAACAGGAACACGGACAGACCCAAGGTCACACAGCTAAGTGGAGCCAGGTAGCCTGGCTCCAAAGTTGTCGTAACCATTATGCCATACTGCTTTTCTTTATAGTTCACGATGATAAAGATGAACAAATAATAAGGAAAGCAAACACCCAGACACTAGAACCCAGATTCGGAAACAGAACGTTGCTTGTATCTTTTTTTTTTTTTTTAAGATTTTATTTATTTATTTGACAGGGAGGGA